AAGGGGTTTAGGGTTTCAAGGGTTCGAGGGTTTAAGGGCTTAGGGTTTTAAGGGTTTTGGAGCTTTAGGAATTCAGGGTTTTAGGGGTTTTAGGGCTTTAGGGCTTTAGGGCTTAAGGGTTTTAGGGCTTTAGGGTTTAGGGTTTAAGGGTTTTTAAGGCTTTCGGGTTTAAGGGTTTAGGGGTTTTAGGGCTTTAGGGCTTAAGGGTTTAAGGGGTTTAGGGTTTAAGGGTTTCAGGGTTTTAGGGCTTTAGGGCTTTAGGGTTTAGGGGCTTAGGGGATTAGGGGTATTTGGTTTAGGGTTTAGGGTAGGGATAGCAGCAGTTTGGGTTTATTAGCGTTTAATCGGTTTGGGGGCTTGGCTCTTGTGGGGTTTAGAGTCTCTAGCCTATGGGAGAAGTGAGAAGGCCACTGTAGTATTGTATATTATCTACAACTATCACCGTGTCAAAGTGTTTTTGGTCATTATGCTGAGGGTGCGCCGCAGTCTAGGACATCTGCAGTCTGCGGAGGGCCAGCGAAGCCCTTCGAAGTCTTTGGAGTTTCGGGCTGTAGGTTTAGAGTTCAAGTTTGAGGCTTTAGATATTAGGGTCGGGGTTTCTACATTCTGCATATACAAATGAAGGAACTAGGAACGATGTTCGTGGCTTGTGCATGTCCGTGTTTTAGCTCTGTTGTATGTGTTGTAAGCGTTGTGTGTGTGTGTTTGTGTGTCTGTGTGTGTTTGTTTGTGTGTGTGTGTTCGATTACGTCTTGTGTATGTGTCTGTGTGTGTGTGCGCTTGTCTGTCTCTGTCTGACTGTCTCTCTCTCGCTGTCTCTTCGTGTTTGTGTTTGTGGAGTGTCTTTGTTCCTTGCCGTTCTTGTACCTCTTCCGGGCGAATCTTGGCGACTATATTTGTTTGGCTTCGCAGCGGTGCCCTTGGCGTCTGTTAGCACGTAGACGTAGATGTAGCCGGGGCTTAGTCGGGACCTCCTTAGCCTTAGACCGGCTGAGACCTCACCGGTGGCTTTCGCATGCCCGCCAGGTTGCATAAAGCAGAACGGCTTGCTACAGAGTTGTTGACGTCGTCGCCGAAACCCCAAAACACCCAATGCAGCCCGAAATTGAACTCGCCTTCGGTTTCGATTACTCGCGGGTTGAATCGGGGCGTGAGCATTGTACTGTGTTCACAACTGTAGGATTTGTTGTTGAACCTTAGCACCGCAGGTTCAGTGGTTTACCGGGCTTGTTTCGGGCTTCGTTTGTGGTTGCAGGTTTGTTAGTGGAGGAGTCCTCGAAGAAATGCCTTCGTCAGCCGTCTTTGGGTTTCCACCTCCTAGCTACTTTCCACGCTCTGCAAGGTATCTGCAACAAGGTCTGTCTGGAGACCTTGCCGCATGTGAGGCCGTTGTGCAGGAACACAGCGACCAATTCTGGCTGTGCATGTGATGATTTTGAGGTTGAGGCTTGAACGTGTGCTTTAGAGTTAAACTTAGTAGCTGAGTGGATACACTTTACACTTTTTGGCATAAAACTACACACTATTAAACGGAAAGTTTACACTTTTGGGGCTTACGATCTCAGCAGCTGAGTAAAGGTTGGATACGAACGAAGCTTGCCTTGCCGTGTGAAGGCTGGGAAGTAGCCGACTGTAGAGTTACGCAGCTTTTGCGCCTTGACAATGTCCAGCAGTTCATAGCGGCTCCTTTTTGGATACACCCTGCATCCCTCCTTTTGAACATGTTGGTTGTGACGACACGAGTCTCGATGAGCAGGCCATTGTTGCAATGGGTTGTGAGAAGTGTGGAAATTCAGCTGTTGATGTTAGAGCGACGTCATGAGTCATGCTGTTGCTCTAAGGCTCTAGATTCTATAAACATCAGGGAGACTTCGAGTGACCTACGTCGCTCCCAGGGATTTCGTGGAGACATCGCAGCCAAAATTGGAGGTGTGTTCACTCGCTGCAAGCGAGGGAACACGGAGCCTGCGACTGCGAGTCAACAGCAGCCTTCGGCAGTGCATTTGGCACAAGGTTTCATGACAGTTCTAGTGCTGATTTGAGCATTTTTCATTCTGCACCCTGAAGTATCCTACGTAGCTTACAACGAAAGTGCGTAGCGGCGAAGCGATAAGCCTTTCAAGAGCTGCAAAGTGGGACAACTGATCTCGACCGCATGTAGCAATGACAAGTGGGGGTTGGAGACAATGTCATTTGGTCAAAAACTGTCGAAGGCTGCCGTTGCAAGCCGCGGAGGTTTATGTTATGCCGACAGCACTGCCACCATTCTACAGGCGATCTGTGAGGCTGGCAAGAACACGCGACGTAGCCTGGGAGGACTGTCCAAATAGCCCAGTCGACTTCAGAAAGCCACCTTACGTCAGTCGCACGATTCCAGGCTGTGGGCAATCCTTCCCAAATCGCCCTGCAACCCGGGTTTTGTTCAGATCCCCGATGCTGTGCGCAGAAAGCGGCTGACCTCAGTCAGAATCTCAGGATCCTGGAGTTGGCCTGAAGTTGGTCGCTGCACATTTTCATGCTAGAGTTGCCCTCTCCGGAAAGATTGCTACTCGTATAGTTTCACCTTTCAAAGACCAAGATATTCTGTCTGGCCCGAAAAGTCTGCGACGCGGCTACCAGCATCAAAGGAGTGGATCTAATTAACTGCTGTAGGGGCCTTTATAGTTACCTATACCATTTTGGGGGCTCGGGCGCCCAAAAAAGGCCCCTATGTTAGGAAGCTTGCCATTGCCACATACCCGCCATAGGCGGTATCTGAAAAGTGGCTGCGTCGTGTGTCGAAGTTCTCGTTTACACGGTATCTGCCCAGGCTGCACAAATTTGTGCATTCGCTGTCTGGCATGAATGCTTGCTACTTTCGGTCTATGTGTGAGTTTGCCGATTACACTGCCTACGCTTTGAATGCAACCCCCCTCCTAGCGGTTGTTTTGGTGATCATGGTCTCCCGCACACGTGCACTTGCTTTGCTTTGTTGTGCCAGCCAGACCTCCCAAAATTTCTTAGTACAGGAATATACTTCAAATCATGTCAGGGATCCTGTAGTTTGAGGTCTGTTGCCGAATCAATAAGGGATGTTGGAAGATCTGGGCACATGAAGCCCTTCAGATCGAAATCTGCTTGCTAGGCCGTGTGGCGACTAACAATTTTTCCAAAAAGCGGCCCTCCTTAACCTTTACCAACTCGAAAACACAGCTTGTATGGGAGAGACAGAGAGAGAGCGAGATAGAGAGAGAGAGAGAGAGAGCAGAGGAGATGAGAGGAGAGGGAGGTCCGTGGAAGCAACTCAAACGCACACAGCCTCAGGACAGGGTTCTGTCTGGTTCCGAAAACCACTATTACAGATACGTATATGCATATGTATAAACTCAGTTGTTTATGTCCGAAATACATTATTTCAGGTATGTATACGCATATGTCTAAATTCAGTTGTTTATGCTTTCTAGCTACAATATGTGTTTGCTCATGCATTCCACTACTTGTTCATCTCTGTAAATAACATACATCGGGGCTTGCTAGAGGCAGGGGTGCCTGATTTCGGGGTCCTTCTTAGTCTCTTACAATACTCAAGGTCCGTATTATACTATCTTGGTTTCTGAAACTCTGCATACGTGGCAATGCCTGGGACTTCGGGGCTCTTGCTTTTGCTCGTGCAGATTCCGGGGTTTTGACGGTTATGCAAGCCGGGAATTCCTAAGTATCCCCAGACCACGCCCGCCGGAGAGCCCTTAAAAGAACCCCTATGGAACCCCTAGTAGCCGTTCAAGTACCCCAACCAGCCACAGATGTTGCAGCAGCTTGCCAGGCAGCCAAAGCTCGGACATTCCCTTGCACTTGGGGGATCTTGGAACACAGGGATACATGGGGTTTAGGGTGCAGGGTGCAGGGGTTTAGGGTGTAGGGTTTGGTGTTACGGGATACCCTTTTCAGGGTGCGAAGATAAAACAATCCTACTGCTTGGAGTTCCGACTTCTGGACTTCTGGATTCCACAGAGTTGGCGAGGCAGTCCTATTCTCTTTCCAAGAGCTCCCACAGGATGGAGTGCCCCAAGCCGATCTTTTTTTAAATGAAGTGTTGAGAGTTCGTGCTCGACTTTTGATGAACAAGCAGACGACCCGCAGCTTCAGGATCTGATGCTGATGCCATCTGATGCCCCTACACTCCCTGACTTTCCAACCATGAACAGCGCAAACCTTAAGCACGGTCTTCAAACATCGGGCACCAAAGTCTCTTCTTCTGGCCGAGAGCTGGGTATCTGGCCGGACCCGCTGACATCTCGTAGGCCCCCTTCACCTGCGCTGGTTCCGTAATGTAGGGGCCTTAATAATTCGAACAGGGTTTTGGGGGGCTCCTTACCACTATAGCATAATACACCCCCAAACCCTCCTCTCATCACTAAGGCCCCTCTATTAGTTGGTTTCTTTGGTACGTGTAGCAGAGCTGCTTATAGTCACTAGCCTATTGTCTTCTGTGACCGCATGGTGAAGAGGTGTCAGAGGTCGCATTGGGGGAGCAGAACCCGAAGGTTTGCAGCCACGACCTGAGCCCCCAGAAGGGGGCGGGGTTGCTTCGCCGGAACGTAAAAAGAACTGGCCTGCAGCAGTGCATGTCGCACTCCTGAGAGGACCTTCGAGGAAGTAGCAGCAGTTCCGCACTACCGCGTGCCATTCTTCTGCTGGCGAGGGTGATTCGGTGACACAAGTGGGTAGTTGTCAAAATTATGGTCCCTTTTGGGGTACCTTAAATATAAGGTGCCGTATTAGAATAAGGACCCAAAAAGGGACCCTAATTTTGACAACCACCCAAATAGTGTTTGGAGTGATGGTGGCGTGGCGCTTTGCTGCATGCTCGTTCTCAGTTGCGGCAGTGTTGGTGATGCTGCTACACACGTGGTGCTGGTGGTGACTGGTGACTTTACACCGGTTGAAAAACGACGGTTGATGGAATAGGCTTGAGAAGCTTCGGGCTGGACCGCTTGCCGACCTCACGTGGCATTACGCAGGAGCCCACGCATGTTGGAGACGCGGACCGTTGGGCACCGAGTGCGTGAATGCAAAGTGCATGAAGGCCACGCGAAATGCGAGCTCTGACTCAAGCCACACAGGACCCAGTTTATAGTTTCGAAGCCAACCCGACAAGCACTGATATGTTACTGCAAAGTAGGGGAAACGAGTCAGCTAATGAGCCAATGGCCTGGAATCCATGACTTCAGCGGCACATAGTCTGCAGCCAGAATGAAGATGCGGAGGCTGCTAATTTGTCAAAGTGGAGGATTTTCGCATCATGGCCCGAATCGAACATGGGTACTGACTTGTGTTGAGATTTCCAAGCCTTTGCTGGGGCTGTTGGGTTGGATTGAGCCCAAGCTACCATGCAAGTCGTCAGCATCATAAACCCGAACGGCCACAAGGGCAAGAAAAAAGGCAGTTATACCCGGAAAGGGACCTGATTTTCCAACCGAATTAGTCAGGTCATCCGTGCTTCGATGTTGCTGAGAACCCGGGTCGGGTGTGCGGCCCCTGGCCTCATGTACCTGTGCAGGCCGGCATGGCGGGGCCCCATAGCTTGTCATTCGAGGTGCTCGCGCAGGTTTAGGGCCTTTAGGGTACCCTTGCTTCATTCATCACTCTGGTCGAGATTCGGGTTAAGAAGAGTAGCTGTCGATCTGCTTCTAACGCGACATTGCGTAGGTGCCACCCTTGGCTTCGGACGGGGTTAGTTTGTTTCTCTGCACTCGGGGAGATAGACGTTTGTCTTGGTAGCCGAGCTCCTACATTCCCTGGTCATCCCCTCCCAGTTCTTGGCATGATCGCTTCCGTAAACCTTAAAACCTAGACCCCACCCTAAACCCGGAGTTACCCTGGAAATGCGGGCTTCGTCCTTGCCCTGAACCCAAATCGCTTGATGAAGAAAACTTGAATCGAGGCCCTCGCTGTCGACATCAATGGCCTGCCTCAGCACCTTAGCTCGCTTTAGGGTTTAGAGGTCAGGAGTTTAGGGTTTAGGGGCCCCAAAGTAGTTCCTTTTTGGGGTTCATATATAGAATCCAAGAAGGCAATCCCAAGAAGGAACTACTTTGGGGCCTCTGGATACAGACATAGGGATCGGGAAAGCTGGAAAGTGGTACTGTCCCTACAGACACCGTGTATTAGTGTGTATGTGCTCCCAAAACCAGTTCAAATTATTCGGACACCCATATCGGGCATGTCGTTCTCTTTAACCTCTCGCATCGAAAGACATCGAAAGCATCCTTCCGACCTTTGACACTCAACCCCTACGGTTCTATAGGAAGATGCTTCCTCATAATAGCCCGATTTCGATTTCCAGGGCTCGGTAATCGGCCGAGACGCTTTGGGAATACGCGTGCTTTGAGGGTTAAGGTTCGAGGGTTCAGGGTTTGAGGCTTCCGGGTTAAACTTCGATGCGGTTTCGAAGCAGTTGTGAGGTTTAGGGTTGGAACCTATGGCCTGATAGTGCTAGCACCGAGTGCCTCAAAAAGCGAATGCCAATACTCCACGCCGAAACCTTGACGACCGAGACTCGCACGACCGAAAGCCGAAAAGCAAGCAAACAAAATTACTATTCATAACAGCATCAACCGCCAGAGGTGAAAGACCCGACACCCTGGAATCGAACGCCTCATGCTCCGAAAATGTGAGAGATTGCTCGGTTGGGGTATTTTGAAGTATGTTCTACGGATGCTACAGGAACGCCGCTGTTCGTTTTAGGTTTGCAAAAGTTCCTATATCTATATCAGAGTTGTGTAGAATCTCCTAAACGTTGCCCAAGTGGAGAAGCTAAGTATTGCAACACTCTCAGGTCTGCAGTGCAGTAGTGGCGGGCGAGGTTTCGATTTAAAGTGATTTTTGTGACATCGCCTGTTGACTGCACCCTGGAGCGCAAATCCGCCTCATGATCACATATAGGGTTCAGGGTTTGCTCCTTTGTGGAGTAGAAACCCGAAATGCTGGATAAAAGGGGGAGGGGCTAGACCCTAAACCATCAACCCCTAAACCTCCAAACCCCTCCGACAAAACCATAAACTCTTGCAACCTCCTAAAGCCGCAAACCCTAGACCCCGTAGACAACAGAGCCCCCAAAACCCAACCGTAGACCTGCAGCCTAGGCCCTCAGAGCTTTGAGATGGGTGCGAAGACCACGGACTTCGGTACGCCGATCAAAGAGCGGGCCACAGCCGAGTTGTCCTCCCTCAAAGCAGTTCTGGGTTTTGTTTGTTGGTGTAACTCGTTGTGCTTAAGCGTCTCGTCAAGGTTATGCGGCTAAAGGGTTTCATGGGGCTTTGAAGGGTCAAGCAGATATGTGTTGTTCGCAATACTGCGGTACATTTTTTAGAACCACATTCCGAAGCATACCTATAGATCTGTATCCATTTCTTGAAAGATAGCAGAGGAGTTTCAGTAGTCTTTGTGGAAGTAGTTGGTCGCTCGTAGTCGTCGTAGTCGTAGTGGTGGTACCCGTAATATCCCATAATGGTGGAACTCGTAACTTATGGTGATCGTAATATCCCGTAATGGTGGAACGCGTAACTTATGGTGACAGTGGTGGTGCTTCTGCTGCTACTGCTGTTGTTGTTGTGGTGGTGGTCGTCGTCATCGTCGCACCCCAGTAAAACTTACGGAGCTGGGGAGAAGGAGAGAGGGCCGGAATTGGTTTCAGTGCTTCAGATATTCATGCTTTTGGCATGTGGTTGATGCGGCTTTAATCTGCTACTTTGTGACACAGTAGCAGATGGAGGCTTGGAGACATCTATGAAGAATCGTGAGGCTGTATGTTAAACTCTGTGTATGGAAAAGAACTCTCTCCCCGCAGCCCTCGCAGAGGGCGGACATGAGCGTAAGACCCGGTAGGGGCTCCGTTTAGGTCAGACCTCGTGTAGGAAAATAGTGCAACGAGGGATTCCAGGTTTCTGCCAGCATCACGGGGTCAAAAGAATTCCGAACCCTAAGGGTCCATGTACTCATATTGTATATGTATATACATTGGCCTTAATGTAGTCCCTATATAGGTACATTGGGGCCCATGTATCTCTATATGGGTACATGGACCCTTAGGGGAAGGTATCATGGCTAGGCTTTGCTGGCCTGCAGCAATCTGTACGCACAGAGTGCTTTGCACACGCTAACTAGCTGAAGTGGCAGAGCCACCTGACAAAACCTCTTGAAACACCCAATTGAGTGGTTGTCAAAATTATGCTCCCTTTCTGAGCCCCTACTATATTACGGCACCTATTATTTAGGGTACCGAAAAAGAGACCCTAATTTTGACAACTCCCCAATTCTTACCATGGCGACACCGATGGTTTGGATCCGAGGTCATCCTGTGCTGCCCTTAGGCGCAGGGAGCTCCAGGTGATCTTGATGTTGATATTGATATTGGTAGTGATGTTGGTATTGGCCTTGGTGTTGATGATGATGATGATGCTGATGTTGATGATCAGAATTGTATGGCGGTTGCCGCGGCAGTGCCGTTGTCGAAGACGGAGAAGCAGCAGATAATCATGCGCAGGGCACATCATTGCTGTCCTACATACTCCGGAGTTTCATCGCCGGTATCAGCCGCAGATGTTGTGGACTTTGCGACTGATACTTCTCATTCCGCTGCTATGCCTCTATTCTGACTGTCTGGCAATTCTTGCTTAGAGGTTGAGGTCTACGTCGGCACAAAATAAAAAACTGCTCCTCCGACTGTGAAAGGCCCTGAGGGCCCCCTTTGTACTGTATGGCCCTGCAAAACCTCGGTGATACTGCGACTTGGGACCTGTCAGAACCTTCAACCCTAAGCTAGCAAAACCGCCAAAACCACGGCCAACGGTGACAGGGTCGATTCCGACGTGCTCGGGTTGACCCCGTGACATGAGGCTACTTGCTAGGGTTGGTGACTGGATAACCTGCTTTCTAACGTTCCTGCTGATCATTCGAAAATCGAGTCTCAGGAGGATGACATGATATCTCCCAACCAACATAAATCTGTAGCTTTATCAGCTACTCGAATCATCGAACTGTTGTGAACTTCCTGAATCAACCTCCAAATCTGCCTGCTGTGGTTTACGGGTGTTTATTGCGGTTCTGACCACAGCCGTCGGCATCGGTAGATTTCGGCTGGCCCAGACATTTGTGGGCTTCCTATTCAGCAGCTGGGTTTTTGAACTCAGTGTTGGGGCTTGCGCTTTGGGCTATGGTTTGGGTTTGGGCACAAAGGTTTGTGAAGGCTGAGTTAAGAGTTCAAACGTTCAGGGTTTGGGGTTTAAAGTTCTCCGACAACCTAGGCTTCATGCAACAAGGTTTACAGTTTAAACTGGAGGCTGTGGTGTTGCGGTCTAGAGCTTAAAAGGTCGCTGTCAGGACTCATTCTGCCGGCCTTCCTTTCGGCTGAGCAGATGTTCCCTACTTCAGAGTATATAGACTTTGGCATGATAAAATCAAAAAGCGCGCCGTAGTGCCTGGCGGCCAGGAGCTTTGAAGCAAAACCTGCCTGTTTTGAACCCACGCGGTGGTTCTTGGCTTAGCCGGACGGCGCTGCGGGACGCTCAAAACTTGCAAATGAAGCCGAAGGAACGAGGCAACTGGTGGCCACCGTTCCACTCGTAATTCACTGCTTTTCTAAGGATTTTCCGACAAAACGCTGCGAAATACGCCGCCCCATGCCACCCGACGCCCCCCGACGCTGCCCGATGCCGCCCGTTACTGCCCGATGCTGCCCGATGCTGCCCGAAGCTGCCCGAAGCTGCCCGAATTGCCCGAATGCTGCCTTCCCGCCCGCGCACGTGCCCGAAAGCTGGTTTCCCTTTCGGGCAGCCCTTTGCCCGAAGCTGCCCGAATCTGCCCGAAGCTGCCCGAAGCTGCCCAGCGCAGCCCGAAACTGCCCGAAGCCAACGCGCGCAGCCTGTGCGCACCTCCATGGAAATCCTGTGCCGCATGTGCAGGATACTCTCTTTCGGAGTTTTTCAAGCAACAGCTTCCGCGTTGCGTGCTTTTTGAACGGACTTGAGTTACTGCGCATCCCACCCCACAGATTCAAAACAGGAAAGTTTTTCTTGAAAGCTCCTGGCCGCCAGGCACTACGGCGCGCTTTTTGATTTTATCATGCCAAAGTCTATATACTCTGAAGTAGGGAACATCTGCTCAGCCGACAGGAAGGCCGGCAGAATGAGTCCTGACAGCGACCTGTTAAGCTCTAGACCGCAACACCACAGCCTCCAGTTTAAACTGTAAACCTTGTTGCATGAAGCCTAGGTTGTCGGAGAACTTTAAACCCCAAACCCTGAACGTTTGAACTCTTAACTCAGCCTTCACAAAACCTTGTGCCCAAACCCAAACCATAGCCCAAAGCGCAAGCCCCAACACTGAGTTCAAAAACCCAGCTGCTGAATAGGAAGCCCACAAATGTCTGGGCCAGCCGAAATCTACCGATGCCGACGGCTGTGGTCAGAACCGCAATAAACGCCAGTAAACCACAGCAGGCAGATTTGGAGGTTGATTCAGGAAGTTCACAACAGTTCGATGATTCGAGTAGCTGATAAAGCTACAGATTTATGTTGGTTGGGAGATATCATGTCATCCTCCTGAGACTCGATTTTCGAATGATCAGCAGGAAAGATAGAAAGCAGGTTATCCAGTCACCAACCCTAGCAAGTAGCCTCATGTCACGGGGTCAACCCGAGCACGTCGGAATCCCCTGTGCCGGAGCTGGCCGCGGTAATTGCGGTTTTACTACCCTAAGCCCTATAAACTTTGGGAGTTGCCACAACTGTTCTTCTGAGACACCCTGCAATGCGGGCTTCGTCCTTGCTAGGTAGGAGGGAAAAATAAACCCTGGGGCTGGGAGCCTTCCCTGCTGTGAGGGAGTGTGAGCGTCGAAACCACCCCTAAACCCCTAAACTTTAAACTCTAAAAGAACCCCTAAACTCTAAAAGAAACCTATAAGCCCTAAACCATGACCTTTCAGAACTCTGGAAGGCATGGCATGGCTGTGGCTTCTTCGTTTGTTTTCCCTTTCTCAGCTGAGGCCCTATCCGGTGTCCACGGAGGCTGCCGGCCTTGCACCTGCTGTGTTACCGCAAGGGTCCAAAGGATCCAGCAATTGGGTTTATATTAGGGTATAGGATAGTCGTTACGTAAGTCCGATTCTTGGTTTGCAGACTGGGCTTTAGCACGTCGCACTAAGCTCACAGTTTCACGGCCTCTTGCCGGTTCTAGCAAAGTTCTAGCCCAAGTGCCCCGAGAAAGTTGAGAGCAACAACGCAGCCTACACCCTAAATGTCCTCGCTTGTAATCGCTTCTCTGGCAACCTTCAAGGTCTACTTGGAGGTTCATGGGACTTAGTAACTAGGGTTTTACATACGATAATATATACTTATAATTGCTTATAATCCCAGTTATGGTACTTTTAACTGTACTTACTAAAAGTCCCATGATCCTCCTCATAGAACTCTTAATAGAAATCCTATAGATCCCTTATAGATCCCTTTAAGGAACCCGTTAAGGAGCCTTACTTACTAAGTCCCACGGACCTCCAAGGTCTCGGGCCAAGACCTGCAGGAGCTGCCCCGGACCCTGAAGTGAAGCCAGAAGCGTGAAGATAGGGGCCTTATTCGTACATGATTTTGGGGCTTCCCTTTTGTAAATAGGGATCTACAGTAGAGTTCTATGGTATAGGTGCCTTATTCCTACACCATTTTGGGGCAGAAGTGTTAGTATCGGGCCTTATTCCTATACTATTTTGGGGCTTCCCTTTTATTATAAATGTAGTATAACGGGGCCCAACACCCTGTTCTAATTATTAATGCCCCTATATTAAGTTCAGGCCTGGTCTTCTGTCGGCCGCTCTCTCGCTGCTTGGGGCTTACTGCCGGGTTGCCCTTGCGGCTTCGGGAACAAGGCTATGTGTGTCTGCGTGGTCCAGCTTCTTTGCCGGCATTCATCAAGTACGAAAGGTTCCAAGATCTGTCGCGATTCTGCGCCCACATAGCAAGGAAAGGCCTCTGGGGTACGAAGCTTCGGCGCCACTCCTCCCCGAGACCGCGAACCTTGTCCCCAAACTTTTCTCCCCTAAGATGACCTGAGCCTCAGGCCCGCAAAGATCGATGCCCTACACGCAAGGCCTCATGCCCAAAACCTTCAAGCCGGAACTCAAACCAAAAACCTAAAGCCTGACGCCCAAAGCATCCCCAAAAGCCATAACCCTAAACCCTGAACGCACAAATCGAGAAGTGTACCAAACCCTAAAAACCTAAACCCCAAACCCCTAAACCCTAAACCCCTAAACCCCTAAATCCCTAAATCCCTAAACCCAAAGCCAAAAGCCGAATCCAAGGCCTCTGGGCTTGCGGCGCTCGCACCCTTGGCCGAGGGCCAGAGGCCCTGGAGGTGAGCGGTTTTTGTGGGATTTAGGGCGTTTAACAGAGGGGCCTAAATAATTACCTATACTATTTTGAGGGGTCCTTATTACAAGTATAGTATAAAGGACCCCAAAGCCATAGAGGATTTAGGGCTTTAGTGCCTCGGTTGTTGTTGGGGCCATTCTGGCTGTATGAGCTGCAGGGCTTTGAGGACTTGTAGAGCCTACTTGTAGTTGGTTTTGGATGTCAGAATTGTTCTTGCCGGTTGTGATCTGGGCATGTCGCGGCCCAAACCCTTAACGCCTACCCCCTTGAAGCTGCATACCTTCAACCTACCGGCACATGTTTGAGTTTGCGGCGATTCTCCATATAAAAGCTTGAGGGAAAAGGACAGGTAGCGGCAGCGGCAGCTATGCCGCAGTTGGCTTTATCAGCCCTCTCCATGATGGGATTCTGCGGGTATGATGTGGACATCACGTCGTGTACTGAGGTGGGATTGCACGGTTGCAAGACAGCCACTCTGAAAAATGCACGTAGCCGGGGTAAAGAAGTGGAGACCTTCAAACAACTTGGAACTTTGTGCAACTAGTGCATGCCCGACTTGCTCGGGAGCATGCTGAGCATTGACTAGTCACCAAACAAACTGGTTGCACTCAAGCTTGGCTTGGTGCTCTTGTGCCAACCCCGTTTCTCGACAGCACAGGGAATGTTGAACACCTCTGCCCACCCCTTGTTGTCGAAGAATCTGCCGAGGCATGTACCAGCTCAAGCTCAACAGCTGCCGCTCAGGCCGGCGCTTCTTGCTCTCCACCAGCCCGTCCCTCTGAAAGGAACAGACATCATGGTTTCTTGAACGAAGAGTGTTTTGAAAGATGCGTTGCAAGGCGACTCTGCCACTCGCCACAGCCTGAGAAACAAGGTAGCTGGCATGTTGCGAGCTGCACTCTGATGCCTGACACTTCAGACACGGCCATAGCGCCAAATCCACTTCAACCCTAAGCGGCCCGAGAGCATCCTAGACCCACCTGGAGAATTCCGCCGTCCGAGGACTTCAGGTGTGCCCTTAGAGGGGAGGTCGTCTGGTGAAGTAATGCTCCAAGGGTAAAAGGAGGGACCGTTAATAAGGACCCCTAGGTATATACCCTTAATATAGCTATGATATACCCATTATGTAGCCCAGTATAGGGTAGGGGTCCCGATTAAGGGTCCTCCTTTTCCCTTTTGAAATGCGGCTCGGGAGTCTTCCTCGCCTTTGTGCTTGGCATGAGATGGCCCAAGTCTTGCGAGGATTAACGGGTCTTCTGGAAGCCTAGTAGACTGTAGCGTCCATGGCTGGTAGTTTTACATCTGGGAAATCATGCGGCGGAAAATTCCACATCTCGCAGAATTGCAACGAATAACCAGATACCGACACCCGTGCAGTACGTGAATGAACAGTTTCAGTCCACTGGATTCGTGATGCAGTTTCAGGTCGTACCTGATGCATTTTCCACACGTGCTGTTGAAGTCATCTTTCAGTGATACAGAGTACTGTCGTTTCATACACGTGCCATGGCCATTTGTGCTGGCATTTCAGCAAGTCCACAGCTTCAACAAAATCATGAAGGATGGTAATGGACAGATATGGACAGGCGAAATGCAGACTCTGATATGCTTTCGTCAAGGGCCTGTATTGAATTTGGGATACCGATTGTATCCGATTGTAAACCATAACCCATTTTGATGTGGGTTTTTTGGCAAGGCGTTTGCGTTGAGTTCACGTCGCGGGAGTCAATGTGAAGTAGGGCCACCGTTTCGCACAGATCATTTGGACTTTTTAAACCGAACACGCTTCATATGTCGCCGGCAGGTTGACAGTTGCTGGGTCAGTTCTGTGGCAAACACAAATTGGCATGGTCAGAAATCATAAACCGTGTCGCCTCTGTTACGACAGACCTAACAATTAGGCCAGGGTGCACCCTGCGGGCTCCCAAACCTGAGGCTTTGAAGGCATTCTCAACATCATCGGAGAGGTGTGGAAGACCACCTGCATCGGAATCGTTGGGATCCAAGTCCGGCTGGTGTCCTCAAACCCAGATAAATTAAAACCCTAAACCCTAAACCTTCCGAACAAGCAACCTTCCATGCGGTTTAGTCCTTGAGCCTTTTGATGTGTACTTCGGATCCAGTGTTAGACAGTCGCTGTCTATTAATGCCATGTAGTTCCAGTACCAACCCATGTGATGTTTCACCCTGCCGACTTGTGAACCTCATCTGGCAGTGTCCGAGTGTGAGAGCGTAAACCGAAACCTTGCAGCCTAGACCCCCGAACTGCTATGTGCTTCATAAATGCTGGGCCCTGGATCCCGTAAATCTGAACCCTAGAGTCATGTGCGCTCTCCTACGATCGAAAGGCGGCTCGCAACTCGTGCCTATTACTTCTCATTGGTCGACCCACTGGTTCGCAATCATAGCAGATCGTAGGTTCAAAAAGAGCAGTCGCTCTTTGATATAAGATTCAGGAGCACCTTATGTTTCTGCTCGCTGCTACTGGGCTCCGATGTCAACTGTGGAGTGGAGGCAGTACTGCATATTGTCATCCTCCTTGCACATGTTAGGGAGCCACACGGATTCAACCGTCCTGTCTCTTCTCGCAGCTTCACCTCCCGAAAACAAGGACCATTTGCACAATCATCGTGTTAGCCGCAGGTAAAACCACGAGACGGACCCTGAAGTTGTTCCGGATTAGGTAAGTTCGGATTGGAGCCGTTTTTTGCAAGGAGCTTAGTGTTGTTGGAGGCGGGATAACTGGAGTGTGATTCCCAGAGACTCCAATATCCCTTAATTAAGGAATATACCTAAAATTCTAGTAGGATCCCTTATATGATTTAAAGACCATTCCCTAATTACGGAATATTGGAGTCTCTGGATTCGCAACTATGAGTCTCCTTTGTTTCTCTGGCATCAGCTTGGGCCCCCCGAGATCAGCAACCGAAGAGCCCTAAACTGCCGAAGTTTCCAGCTGCACGGGAGCTATACGGACATTCTAGTATGACAATAGCAGTTCCCAAGGAATATCACTCGCATGCTTCGGCAATAGCACATGAATAATCATAAGCTGTTTTAGCTATCACTGTCGGCTTATGTAGGGTTCCAAATGATCGAGGTCCTTGTTTCGTGCCTGCGCTATGGTGGATAAAAGCCTTGGGCGAGGTCAAAGACAGCAACTACGAGTCTGAGCGGGCGGTCATGTGCTTCGCCGCGGCCTTGGCAACAGCTTCCTTAACATCAGCTGATTATCCGTTAGGTCACCTGAACTTGAGTTGAAAAACACTGAGACATCGGTGCTGTAGTACCAGGGAGGGACAGGTGCGAAGGGAGCAAGTTTTGGGCGACCACATCAAAGCAAGACATGGAGTCCCTGGAAAAGAACCCAACTAAACCAACTGGTCACAACCATGGGCAAACCTTTTGAAGTCGTCTAAAACCATATAGATCATGGAGACGGAGTTCGCAGCGTGTCAAGGTCACCCTGCACTTCCTTTTGCTGTGCCCGGGACTTGGAGCCATGTCACTCACCAGTAGAAGACTGCAAGGTGTGACCAGCGGGTAGTTTTGTGGTATCTCCAGAAATCTTGTCGACCGTGTGGGCATGTGCCGAGGACGTCTTACTGCGTGTTGTCTTTTGTAAAATAGGCATCGGTATGGCGGTCCCGAGCAGCCAAGCCGATGCGTAGTGCAGTGCACTGCCACGTGTTGTTGTGCAGAAGGGTCCCCCATCCAAGCCGATCGCCGTCATAAGTAGGTTTGAGAGGATTCGGAAGCCCTCGGCCCCTGAACCACACATGGGGTGGTTGTCAAAATTATGGTCCCTCCTTGGGTACCCTAGATATCAGGTGCCGTACTATACAAGGGACCCAAAAAGGGACCCCAATTTTGACAACTACTCACATACAAGGCAGCAGTGCAGAAACACCAGCTGGAAGGCCGGCTCAGGAGCCGCAATCGGCATCAGCAGGATGGTGGTGGAACATGCGGTAGTTTCCTTAAAATTGGGGGGGGGGGGGGGGGGGGGGGGGGTTCCTTAATTTGGGGTCCTCATCCCAATAAAGATCTTACCATTTAGGGTAGTATAGTAGGGTCCCTATTCTCGGAAACTCCCATGTGGCCACAGTCGTGAGGATGAACCTTCGATTCATTGCCCACAAAATTTCAGAGCATTCCGGACAGAATTTCCCCCGGAACCGCACGACAAAAAACATGTTCTTTGGCGGCGACGACCACTAGCACGAGGACATGCTGTGCAGATGTAACAGTTCAGCAGTCAACGAGGCACAGCCTCGCTATCTTGTCCGAGAAAGGAGCTTTTCTCAACACAAGGGCACTCCCACTGACCAATGGTGTCCGGTTGACCCACATTCGCTTGAACCACGAGGATTCTTTTCAGGAGGATGCAGGGCGTATGGGGTTTGGGAGCTAAATTGCCACTCAGGCCTGGCCCAAGATCATCCACAGCTTCGCGAGCATACTGCAGCCACCTTTCCGCATTCCCGCGCACCGATTCAAGATCCTGACGCAACATGTAATTCAGAGCACCCATCTTTGGGCTATCACTCTTCTTGGGATCGGTTTGGTTCAGATGTGTCGGTGAGTCTATAGGACCACTGTACCGGTTGTTGTTTTAAGTTCGGGTGCCTCGGAGAGGTGAATGACGGCTTACAGTCACAGCCTATTGCAAAGGTTCAGCGAGGCACAAGCCTCAAGGGATTGAAATCAAGCCTGAACATGCAAGCCTGGGTGGAACATGGTGGAACTGGGTTGTGAGTGACTGCACAGGACGGCTTTGACGAAAAGGGTCCCGCTTTCTTTTGATGTGATTTCTTTCTCTGCGGTTTGAAAGCCGAGCCTTCATCCCAAGTCCGCACGTCTGGATTTTCAGCCCCAAGACACAAAGTACGCATGGAAAGCAGTGCATAGCATACCCTGGCAGAAGAAAGTCCGCGTGTGAGCCACACCAAGAAAAGCTCCCGGGATGAAGTCTGCGTGATCACGTAGATGTTTCCCAGAATTGGCCAGGCCCTTGAACTTATATAGCCCTTTCAGATCCAGAGCACTTTTCGTATGCCATGTTTCCCAGATGGGAGCTTCCTTAAATTGGGGGGGTACCCTATTTTGGGGTCCGTAAAATAAGGTCCCCTGAAAACTCCCAGATGAGATCAGGACTCGTAACACCAAAGGGCGGCAGGGTTACAGGCATGGGCTCTTCAAGCTCAGGACCCTTACAATGCAGGACCCCTGAACCCTACCTAAACTAAAGGACCCCTAAAATGCAGGAGTGGGCTTGTCAGGGCCTAATGTTGGAATCCTAAGCTTCTTCCCAGGCCACCGTGCGCGAGTTTTTGGAGCGGATTGATGCCGCACCAGCCCATGCCAAAGGAACTTGCTTCAAAGATGCGAGCCTGACTTGCCTGGATGTTTGGTGATTGTGTTTCGCCGGGTTCCATAGTCTAAGCATTAGTATAAAATAGCCCAAAACCCACTTCGAGTTGCATGGGCCCTACGTTACCAGTTCGGCTTTCGGGTTCTCTCGTTTCGGTTTTCAGGCTTCGGGCTTTGGAGGACGAGGACATGGGAGCATGGATCCTCTGGTTTTCTTGAGCTTCTCCATGGCTAAGTAGCTGAGTGAGTACGCTTTACACTTTTTGGGGGATAAAATAGCCCCTTATAGAACTGAAAGTGTACACTCTTTGGGACTTCTGAACTCAACAACTGAGATGGTCTGTGCTCAGCTGTGCCGGACGTTGAGGGAGATATTGCCTCTATTTCTGAGTCCGAGAATCTCAAGACCGCGGTCCCGGATCTGGGGAGATTCCTGGTGAGGCTGGGACGTTTCTGAATTCCGGGTTTGGGGCGTTCTTGGGGCACACCTCGGTTCATACATGCAATCAGATGAACACAACATGTGGAGCATGATTACACGGCATGTTGTGACGCAGGTGGCGATGGTGCTGAATGTGAAGGTCATGGGCTGATGATGATGAACATCACCATCATCATGACGATGGTTATGATTATGATGAAGATGACGTTGATGATGATGATGATGATGATGATGATGATAATTATCATGATGTTGATGACGATGGTGGTGAGGATGATTGCGGGCGAAGTTCAAGCTCAGCGCAACCTACACTCCCAATTCTGACGAGAGCAGATGCATTGGGGCCACCTTCTAGGTGTAGGGTTCTTGGTCCATCTAGGGATTACGAGTAGCATGTGCCTTTGTGCTGACAGGTTTCTGCTGACAGAAAGCCGGGCCCTCGAGCAGTCAGGATGGTGTGGCACATGCTCACTTCAAGACATACAGGGCATTCACCAATCGACTCATCTCTTTATCTGCTCGTGGCATGCACAGTTCATTTTAATGCATGTACATGTAGCTACGGACACATTCGGACATGTAGGGGGCATGGGAGAGCTTGCCAGACAGCCTGGCACGAGATATGGCTTTGAACGCTGAGTACTGACTGTCGCGGCTCACCTGAGGCGAACTGTCGCTCCGGGATCATCTGGCACCGATCGCCAGGTGCTAAGATGCTTCAGAACCTCTGACTCAGGCTTCACAGGCTAAAGAGCTTATTGCTTTCCGGGTTTAGGAAACTTGTTAACAGTCGGCCAGGGAGCTTCAACAGAATGATTTAGGGCATTCGGTTTGCCATGTCTCGTGGCACACCCAAGATGCAGCTCAAGATGTACTGTAGTAAGCTCACCAAGCTTACTACTCCAGGTCCTGGCTTCGGAGTGTAGACTTGTAGGCTTGGAAAGGCTGAGGAGCTTTCCAAGATGACCCTGCCAGAGCGACCCGCTCTTCTCTGAAAGGCCGTCAAATCCCCACACATCACCTGTTGACACGTTTCCATGATCTTACCTTTGGTTAGTAGGGAATGAAGGAATGGGGACAATTATAACCACTATTACTACCATTCTTCCATTCCCTACTAACCAAAGGTAAGTGATGTGAAAGGTGCATGACCAGCAGTTTCTCATTTGCACTATTGTCAGAAATCTGGCCGCCGCCTGTCGGCGTGTACACTTCGTGGACATAACTTCAGCTATACTCTTTATACATAACCCACCCTAAACCCTAAACCCTAGCCAGGCGGGAGGCAAAAATCCCAGCCTCGGAACACAGGTTGTTTCACAGGGCCTATCGCCTCGAAGAAGGGGAGATCGGATGTCCGGACTTGCACGCCTCCACTCTATGCGGCTCGTCAAGCATTGTCGGTTCGAAGTCAGAACCGGCCATGCTGTCTCGAAGCTGCGAATGGCGAGCACTGCCTGCACAGTAGCCGCGAGGAAGCTAGCTTCGGTCTTCTTGAGGCTTACCCGGCAAGCCATGTTCTGAAGCATGCACTGCCTCGGATGCCAGCCCCGCAGCTGTTTGCATGTAGCTGGGTGAAGGATAGGCTATGACAAGATGTTGATCTATATAAATGATAGAACTGGCTTGTCATGTAGTAACCCAAGAAACGCGAGAATACAGTAGGTCCAATAGGTAAGGCTGAATGCTGAAACACTGACTTCGTGCACACAGTTTGGGCTTTGGGGGATGCACAGCTCTGCAGAAGATACGAAGCCAAAGCGCCTGACAAATCACAGACTGAGCCGGCCATGCAAGGTTCGCGAGCTTTTCCGCCGGAACGTTCGGTGGGCCTGCAACTTAGACTCCACCTTATGCCCTGTGCTTCCTTCTGGGTGTCCCTAAACCCTCGTTTGCAGGAAGAGACTGTGCTGATATCTTCATGTTTCTTGAGTCGGCTTCACAACACACAGAGGCAGCAGCAATATCAGCCGTCGCAGTGGTAAGGGTGTTGGTACTGCTATACTATTACCACCACCGCCGCCACCACCACCACCACCACCACCACCACCACCACCACCACCACCACCACCACCACCACCACCACCACCTTTTTACTACGACCACGACGATGGCTACTACCACTGCTACTGCTGCTACTACTACTGCTACTACTACTACTACTACGACTACTACTACTACTACTACTACTACTACTACTACTAGTGCCACTACTCCTACGACTACTGCTACTACTACTACAACTACTACCACGACTACTACTACTACTACTACTACTACTACTACTACTACTACTACTACTACTACTACTACTACTACTACTACTACTACTACTACTACTACTACTACTACTACTACTACTACTACTACTACTACTACTACTGCTACTACTACTACTACTACTACTACTACTACGAAACTACTTCTACCAGACGAGGACGACGACAACAACTACTACTACTTCTACTTTTACTTCTACTTGTACTTCTACTTCTACTTCTACTACCACTACTACGACGACGACGACTACTACTACTACTACCACCACTGCTACTTACTCCTCCTCCTTGTGGTACTGCTACTGCTACTGCTACTACTGCTACTACTACGACGACCACTACAACTATGCTCTACCACTACGTTCAGTTGTCATTATGGCGGCAAGAGCTGTCTTTAGCAACGTAGCTATTTAAGCGTTTTCAATGACATGCGATGGAGGACACCCTGGAGGAGTTCGGTTCGCGCACGCAACTTTAAGGTTCAAACCGTCGTAGTTTATGCACTATATACAGCATCGGGAAAACTGACGGGTGCTCCGGCTTTCAAAATGCCCTGGGACCTTAAAGCCTTAAAGTCACTAGGCGATGTGTCACAATGCAACAAAATTGATGTCATCGTTTGCAGGGGTTAATGTAGGTGAAAACGCATAACGTCATATACCCACAGATACTTTCGGCAACGAGTTGCTGGACACATGGGTGGAGGTTTGCTGAGCGTGTGAATGGCAAGTTGGAGGTTTCGTAGTCCTACGATCCCAATTTGAGTGTGATGCCAAAACTTAGTTGAAGGGGGGGGGCGCTGCAGTCTCATGGCTTTTTTGCCTTTAGCAGTGCTTCTGGACTGAGGTGCACCCGGACCACTGGGCGGATGGTGATGCCTCCGAAGACGAGAAGGAGGAACAGGTGCAGACAAATGCCTTCACGTTATCATCGGCGCACCCACTTTGATTTACTTATACAAAATGCGTCCCAGTCGAATGGCAACAGCCCGGAACCACTGCTTAAACACGATGCTTTCACCACCTAGACGACGTGCTAGTCTCCACATAAGGCCCCAAACGCCGCACCTCGGATTTGAAGGTGGACGCGGCTTTCGAGGCGAGCCAGTTCGGAATGAAGCAGGGGCGCCCGGGAGAGACGACCACCTCAGAGACCTCGTAGCTTGTAGCCCACGCTTTGAAGGCTTCGACCTCCTGACTACGATGCGGGGACACGGCACCCGCACCACGACCATCGCTCCGTATTTTGGATTTTATCCCGATTCCCGTCCTGGACTTGCAAAACTTTGCCGTTGTTGCCAATACGACTGACCGTGTTGCCAGACTGCCCCTCATGCTCCAGCATGTTTAGGCTCCGGGCTTAGGCTGCCTCTTTGGGGCATATGGCATAGAGCTTTGGGCGTATGATTCCGCAAGTTTGCGGCGCCTCTACAAGACTCGTTGCCGAGCATGCGGAGACTGTACATCCCGTATAGTTCAGATTTTCAGTCGATGGCAGGCTCCAGGGGCTTAGGGTTTTGGGGCTTTAGGTTTTAGGGTTTAGCAGGGTTCTTCAAGGTTCAACCGGGGTCTTCAGTCTTCTGCGGTTGTGAAATGGCTCAGAGCACGAAGAAGCACACATGCTTTTGTTCGTATGCACACATCTTAAGCATGTTGACTCTGTAGGCATGTACATACACCAAGTTTGAGCCGCAGCACCTGTAAATTAAATCACAAGAAGGGAGGCAACCCGAAGCAAAATAAATTGATTTGGACTAACATGCCTGAACATAAGAGTGCCAGTGAGCAAGTATTTTGGTGACCATCGTCACCACGCAGAGAGCATATGTTGCAGCAGCCTTGCCTTGGAGACGTTTCCGTAATCATAAAGGTAAGTTTCCTGATCCAACGAGCATCATGTCGATTACAGTGGAAGTTCGACTGCTCAGTGGCAAGACCACCAAAGTGAAGGCTGCCTCCGATGAAAAGGTTGGATTGCTAAGTCGTCGGGCACAGACTGCACTTGGAGTCGGGAGAGGGCGGCTACTGGACTCGTCCGGAAACGTCCTGGACGCATGTGACACAGTCAAGGGTTCCCGATTGCACGACTGTGACTCACTGGCACTGCACATAAGCCGAGTTCAAGTACTCGGAGCTGCCAACGCTTTTGCCACTGTTTTTGGCGATGGATCTGTCGTGACCTCGGGCCATTTTCACAACGGTGGTGACAGTAGTGCTGTACAGGATCAGCTGAGGAATGTGCAGCAGATCCAAGACACAGACAGTGCTTTTGCTGCCATTCTTTGCGACGGTTCCGTCGTCGTTTGGGGCGATGCTCGCTTTGGTGGTGACAGCAGAGCTGTGCAGGCTAGGCTGAAAAATGTTCAGCGGATCCAAGCCTCTCGTGCCGCGTTTGCTGCCATTCTTGGCGATGGAAGCGTCGTCAGTTGGGGTTACGTTGGCGGTGGTGGCGACAGTAGTGCTGTGCAGGATCAGCTGAGGGATGTGCAACAAATCCAAGCCTCTGCCAGCGCTTTTGCTGCCATTCTTGGTGATGGATCCGTCGTCACCTGGGGTAATGCTCGCTTTGGTGGTGACAGCGGTGCAGTGCAAGACCAGCTGAAGAATGTCCGGCAGATCCAAGCCACTGGTGGCTCTTTTGCTGCCATTCGTGGAGATGGATCTGTCGTGACCTGGGGGGATGCTCGCTTTGGTGGCGACAGTTGTGCAGTGCAGGATCAGCTGAAAAGTGTGCAGCAGATTCAAGCCAATGAGCGCGCTTTTGCTGCCATTCTTGGCGATGGGTCTGTCGCGACCTGGGGTCATGTTCACTATGGTGGTGACAGCAGTGCAGTGCAGGATCAGCTGAGGAATGTGCAGCAGATCCAATCCTCTTTGGGCGCTTTTGCTGCCATTCTTCGTGGTGGCTCCGTCGTGACCTGGGGTCAAGCTGAACACGGTGGTGACAGTAATGCTGTTCAGGATCAGCTGAACACTGTGCAACAAATCCAAGCCAATTCCCACGCTTTTGCTGCCACTCGTGGCGATGGATCTGTTGTGACCTGGGGTAATGCTCGCCTAGGTGGTGACAGTAGTGCTGTGCAGGATCAGCTGAAGGATGTGCGGCACATCCAAGCCGCTGCTGCCGGAGCCTTTGCTGCCATTCTTGGCGATGGCTCTGTTGTGACCTGGGGCGATGCTGACTGTGGAGGGGACAGTAGTGCTGTGCAGGACCAGCTGAGCAATGTGCAGCAGATTCAAAGCTCTATCCGCGCCTTTGCTGCCGTTGTCGGCAATGGTTCCGTTGTGACGTGGGGTGTAAGCACTTCATGTGTACTGCTAGCTCCAGCACAAGATCTGAAGAAGCTAATGCAGAGAGACACGCCATCGAAGTGCTGATGCGAGGTTGCTGAGGTCGAGATCTACATGTATATGCTTATGTGTAAGTATATGTGCATGTATATGTGTATGTATATGTGGGCACATAGGTCGGTTTGCAACCAAGAAGTTTTAAGCGCCTCCTGTATCTGGCAGGCCAACTCACTGGTCCTTCATATTCCTTTTAGTTTAGGGTTTAGTGTGCATGCTTGAGCTTCGTTTTGGGATTCTTGCCCGCGTTAGCGATAAGCTCATGTACATCTGGAGTCGCCCAGTATGGCTTGCCATGATGCAGGGATGGAGGCAACCGTTCCAACGGCATGCTGCTGCTGAGTTCTTACACTTGTTGGTGAGCGCCGAAGGCTCCCTAAACCCTAAGCCTGTCCGAGTGTGAGCGCCGAAACCCGAAACATCCCTAAACCCTTGTACTTGAGCTGTCTGCCAAATCGTGGCTTGTCAGCGGTTCACCCGGGCTTGCCGGCAGACTCTACTTGCATGGCGCGGATGGTTTGCGCGGACCCTGAAGTAATCTGGCAGGCTAGAAATCAACATAGTCCTGATTTGCAAACCATAAGATGGAGGAGGCGCTGTTCACCGTTCCACTCTCTCCACCGGAGTTGGCGGAGTCTCACTGTGCCTGAGGGTGCAGTAAGTACATCCAACTAGTCACTAGTTCAGCAGTGGCGCACACAGGATGCCATGCATGCTGCTTTGTTTCCGTATCAGCTCTTGTGCTACAAGACGATGCAGAAGGCAATGGCCTTCATGTTCGCAATGGACTTTCCAGCTGAAGTCAGTTATTTTCAATTTTGGCGATGCCCAGACACGAGGTCGCTGCCCTTGACTGCTGTATGACACTTGCGATGGCACCGCATGTTTCAAAAGTCTCGGCCTGTCCAATCACTCCTGCTCGAGCACGTAGCGCACGAGTATACAAGTACGGTAGGGGCCTTAACAAAAGGAAGAGGTTTAGGGAGTTCCTTGTTAGAATTATAGTATACTATACCCCCAAACCCTGTTTTAATTCTTAAGGTCCTTACATTACCGGTGACCTGGGTGGGAGGAACGCACACAGTGTGCAAGTTTCTGGCCCGGGATTACTGCACAGATGGCTCTCTTTTGTTCTTGCAGCACAGGCCGACAAGACTGCCTGTCCTCCGCTTCCAAAGGTAACCTAAACTCTAAACCCTAAACTTAAAAAAGAAAAACCTAAACCCTAAACCTTAGAAACAAGGAAAGTGAAGAGTATGCATGTCACTGCATATTATCTATATATATATATACATACATACATGCATACCTACATAGTCACCACTCCCTTTCCCTCCGTGTGCCGAAGCAGGGCACAGCCAGGAAGACCATGTCGCAGAGAACAAAAGCTCTGGTGCGCCCGTGGAGCCCTCTTTCGCAGTATTGGTGCTTAGGGCTTTATGGTACTTCAAAGGCAGAATTGAAAAGACCTGTGAGGTGCAAGCACAAGACATCGGGCGAATTCTCATGGTCATAATGCAGGAACCTGATTAAGAAACCTTGGGCCGTTATTAGGGTTCCTCATATGAACTACTATCTTGGGATTATAGGCCCAGGGTTTCTTAATCAGGTTCCTACATGACCTTCCCCAACTTTTTCTTGCTACTACGAGCACCCGTTCACATCGACTGCATGCCTGCTGATTGCGGCAGGCCACAATGTCACAACTGCTAGTAGTCATGATTTTCTCTGAGGGTTACAGCCGCGAAGCTACGAGTTTGAGTGAGTTTCTCTATGGTTATTCTGGTATTTCCGTGTCGTTTGCATTGCCTATTGCTACTGGTTCGTTTTCTTCTGCTGTTGGATATGTTGCTGTTGTTTTTGCTCACGGATACCCAGAAGGGACAGCAGGGCAAAGACAGCAGCTGCTCCGCGTACCTCGACAGAACATGTCTTCAGATCCCGTAGCCATTCCGCATTTGCCGAGGCTGCTGGTATTCCAGACCTACTACATTCTGAGATCCCGTGAACTCGGGCTGGACCACATTGGGGTTGTCTGAGGTTTCATCCTGCTGTTTCGTGCTGTTCCATTCATGTCATGACTCAGGGGTGTCAGATCTATACGGGAGTTTCCGAAAATTGGGGGTACCTTATTTTGGGGTCCTTGTAACAGGGATCCTACTCTTTAGAGTAGTATATTAGGGTCCCCTCTTTTCGGAAACTCCCATACCTGTACCGAAGTTTTCAAGTCCTTCGCGTGTTAATGCCTGCGTTGCCTGTGTGGACCGGTGCATCGCGGATGGCGGGCTTCTGCAACAGAATTTGAAGCAATGTCCGATTCGGGGATGGGAGCACATCGAGAAGCTGCAGGTTGCAGCATAACAAGGCTAGATATTGGTGTGTCTTGGTACCCAATATGTCAATATGTCTCGAAAGCTCGCGGAGCAGCGCTTCAGTGAAGTCTGCTTTAGCAGAGAGGCAGGCTAGGACCACAAACTGGCTAGCATACTATTGATTTTAACGAGTCAGGGGCGTTAAATCGAAGGGTCACATGGTTTATCCGGTTTGGTTGAGTTGGGGCGCAGGGGGGAGGGGGGCTAAATTGACTGTGTTGTGAGAGTTGTAGTAGAGGCAGTCAAGCTGAGCAGCTGCAGAACTCATTCGCGGCTGTCTGCTCGAAGCCGTTTGCGCAATGTCTTGGCTTGTGATCACCTACGACGACCACGACGACGACCACTACCCCTACCACTACCACTACTATTACTACTACTACTACTACCACCACCACTACT